ATGAGTTTGAGCCACCGGGTGGGGAACCCAAACCGCGGTCGACTACATGGGAGTCCCGCGACATAGCCATTACGCTAACTGCTGGTCCCCTTCACCCTCCAATTTCACCACTTCAGTCCCTTTGCCAAATTGGACCTCTTTCTCAGCCTTGCTCCTCCGGAGTATCTGCCCTGGGGAGAGATCAGACCTGCCCGATGGAGGGCTTCATTTCTAGGTCACTTGTCCCGACTAGTCCCAGTAAAATCAAGTCAAGGGCGTCATCTACCCCAATCCCGCTGCAAGATCTTTCAGAGGTCGCGAAATTCGCCTTTAGTAGCCGTCCCCATGGCGGTCGGCATCGGTTTTGACCTGTCTATCTGTCCACAGTTTTAAAAGCGCTTTTGAGGCTGGTCCCTGGACCTGCGGGTGGGCCACGTCCTCGGAGCCTGCGCTGAGGTCTGAGCAACCTGCAAACATCAGCATCTCGCAAACCCAGAGCTCGCAGAGTGCCTTCGGTAACCTGCGTTTCTACGGGTAAAACCAAGACGGGCAGGCCCCGCCCTCCGTCCTGACCACGCCCCTACACAGGACCGCCCCGCCCACCTAGCCCGCCCCTTACATCCTCTGTTTTCAGGCTGTCCCCGGCTCCTCCCCTCCGCATCAGCTCCGCCCTTGCTAATCTTCAATTCTACCTTCCTATCTCTGCGCACCCCCGCCCCGTACTAGACTCCCTGTATTTAAGGGGCTCCCGGGGCTCTCGGAGCTCCCGAGGGGCTGGAGCCGGGTTCCACCTTCTGATTCTGCACGACGTCTAGATCATCCTCAGTATCCCCTCTAGGTGAGCAGGCAGGATGTGTGTCCCGTACGAAGCCAAGCGCCCGAGTCGGGGTTTACTGGCAGGATGGTGAGGCCTGGTTGAGGGGTCTGTGCAGGACCTCGGGGCTCGGAGCGGACCAGGTGAGTGCGAGCTGTCCCTTTCTGCAGCAGCTCCCAGGGAGTTCGGAGCCTGGAGACCCATCCCTCTCACTGCATCGCTGCTGTGAGCGCACTCGCAGCTTGTTCCCGCGGCACTCGCCCGCCCGGCCCATCACGAAGAGGGGCCCGAAACCGCCATCCTGAGCCCCCTCCGCTCTCGTGCACACCAGAGTCTGGGAAAGACTTCTACTCCTCTGTCCGGGACCCCTGGGTGACCCGGCTTTCGGGAGTCAGTGTGTCTCCAGATCCAGGATCTAAGAAGATGCCCTGATGTCACCCTGCAGGCAGCAGTGCCCTGTCAGCCCTTCACATCGGGCGCCCGGAATTCCCACAGAAGTGAGGGTGGACGAGGGCATAGAACAGGGCGCGCATTTCCTAGATGCCTTCCCTTGGGGAGCCCTGTGAGACATGCCCCTGTCCTCAGTCCCTAGGGCAACTTACAGACACCCTGTCAGGGTCCGGAAAGAGATCCTCTTGGGGCCTCTCAAGTCTGCACCTTTCCTTGGTTGGGGCAGGAGGAGGAGCAGCTGCCAGAAGTGACCACCAGCGCATGCTGTGCTCTGGTGGTGACCTGGGAGCCACCATCTCTGGGAACTTGGGAAGACTCCCAGGATGCTGTCCCCAGGCTTTGCGTCTCTCATCGCCAATGTGGAGACTGGAGGTCCCCGCTCACCCTAGGATCTCTCTATCACCCTCCCTTGAGTTTCTGCCTCAGTAGGCTCACCTGCCATCCCCACACCTTTCCAAGACTAAGCCCCCTCCTTCCAGAAACTGACTAATAGGACCCTGATGGGTGGGTGGGGATGGGCACCCATGTGGGCCCACGGCCCTCACCCATCAGTATACTAGCAGTGTATCAACAGTCCCAGCCACCTTTACTGAACTCACGCCCTACTCTGTTTAACCGCATCACTCTCCTTACCTTTGGTGGCTTCCCAACTTCTTCAGAATAAAATCCAAGATCCTTGAGCCAGCCAGAGGTGCGGTGGTTAGGGCAGCTGGATTCCATACGGCCGACAGCACAGTTCAATTACTCTACCCAGTGACTTGAAAAACACACCAGGTGCAAGTGCATGTGAGCCCAAGATCCTAAAAAGAATGGAGAAGAGATTGTCATGTGGCCATTCCCCCTGGGGTTGCTTTCTTACTTTTTCTCTTTGTCCTCTCTCTGGCAAATGCATGCACCACCCTATAGGAAAAAAAAAAAATCCAAGTGCCTCACCATGCTGTGCTTGGTGGTTCAGTTCACCTCTACTCCCTGCCCAGCCCATCACAGCCTGGCCAAGATGGTTCTTTGAACACACCCTGTGTTTTCCTGCCTCTGGGCATTTGCATAGGCCTTTCCCTCTGCCTGGAACTGGACTGAGTCCTGTAAGGGCAAGAACCGTGTCTGGTTTTGTTCAGCCCCATATCACCTAGCATTTAGCCTGACTAACAAGACACCCAGTGAATGCCAGCTGGTCTTAATATATCATTCTTTTTTTTGGAGAGGCTTTTGCTATAGGGCGTGTGCGCTCACCAGAAAGACAGAGAGAGACAGAGAGACAGAAAGTGAGAAATCACTCCCGGGGGATGGCCATGCCACTATCCCTTCTCCTCCGTTCTCCTCTCAGGATCTTGGACACGCAGGCACACGCGCACCCAGTGTGAGTTTAAGCCACCGGGTCTAGGACTCGAAGCGTGGTCGACTACATGGGAGTCCAGCGACATAGCCATTAATGCCAACTGCTGGTTCCCATAATTCTTTATTTTAAGTGTATATGTCTTCCCTGAGCAAGAGAGAGAGACAGAGAGAGAGCCAGAGAAATAGCACTCCCAACAGAGTCGTTTTTAAAAAGAATTATTTGTTTTATTTATTATTATTATTTTTTCACATGAGTCTTATCAGAGAAAGAGAGAGTTGAGAAAGCAAGTCGCCATGTCCAGGTCTCAAACCATATCAGCCTTGTGGGAATTCCAACACTTTACCCACCACGCCACCTGCTGGCCCCTCACCAGGGCCTTGACACTGCGATCCATCCCTAGCCTCAGCCAGACTTTTGTACCCTGTGTACTCAGGGAGATCGCCTGGTAGGAATCCCAGACTCCCACACCCCACACAGGTCAGCCTTGCAGAGCATGTATTTCATGGCTGTGCCACCATCCGGCCCCACCAATAAATATTTCTTTTTTTAAGACTTACTTATTTAATTTGATTTATTCATTCATTTACAAAAATATTTCTTTTAATTTTATTTATTCTTTTTTTTTTTTTTTAATTTGACCAGAGAGAGAGAGAGAAAGAGGAAAAGTGAGAAAGTAAGCCACCAGGTCTGGGACTCAAACTGTGGTCGGCCATGCAGGATTGTCCAGTGCCTTAGCCACCATGCCACCTACTGGTCCCTCATTCATTTATTTTAATTTGACCAAAGAGCGATACAGACAGAGAGGAAGAGAGAAAGCAAGCTACCAGATTCAGGACTTGAACCGTGGTCAGTCATGTGGGAGTGTCCAGTGCCTTAACCAACATGCCACCTGCTGGTCCCACTAATAAATAATTTTTGAATAAATGTAGCTAAAGCTTTTCTATGAACTGATTCAGTCTTTTTTTTTTTTTTTCCTTTTTTTGAGAGGTTTTTGCCATAGGGCACGTGCACTCACCAGAAAGAGTGAGACATAGAGACAGAAAGCGAGAAATCACCCCCCAGGGGGATGGCTCCGTCGCAATCCCTTCTCCTCCATTCTCCCCTTGGGGTCTTGGGCACGCACGCACACACACACCCGTGCCCAGCGTGAGTTTAAGTCATCGGGTCTGGAATTCAAACCGCGGTGGACTACATGGGAGTCCAGTGACATAGCCATTACTGGTCCCAGCTAACTGTTGGTCCCAGTCTTTTTTTTTCCCTTAAGGTCTTGCCATAGAACATGTGTGCTCATCAGAGAGGAGAGAGACAGAGACGGTGAGAGGAAAAGTGAGAAATCACCCCTCAGGAGGGACAACCACACTGTAATCCCTTCTCCTCCATTCTCCTCTCAGGATCTTGGGCACAAACCCACATGCACCTGGTGTGATTTTTTTTTAGGTTTTTGCTATAGGGCGCGTATGCTCACCAGACAGACAGAGAGAGACATAGAGACAGAAAGCGAGAAATCACCCCCCCATGGGGGATGGTCACGCCGCAATCCCTTCTCCTCCATTCTCCTCTCAGGATCTTGGGCATGGACGCACACGCGCCTGGCGTGAATTTTAAGCCACTGGGTCCGGGACACGAACCGCGGTCGACTACGTGGGAGTCCAGCAACATAGCCATTATGCTAACTGGGATGTGAACTGTGGTCGACCACGTGGGAGTCCAGCGACATAGCCATTACTCTAACTGCTGGTTCCCCACCTGGTATGATTTTCAAGTTGCCATATCTGGGACTTGAACCATGGTCAGCCATGTGGGGAGTCCAATGCCTTAATCACCATGCCAGCTGCTGGCTTCACTGATTCAGTCTTTACTACAGCTGGGTGAGGTAGGAAATGTGAGGTGGGGATTATTAACTCCGTTTCACAGAAAACAGGAGCTCAAAGAGGTTACCCCATCTGTTGAAAGTCACACAGCCAAGATTTGAATCCCAGAGGCAGACTTTTTCACCCCCTCTCCTTGGGTCTAGGAGGTGGATGGAGGGTGGGTGGGGAGTAGTACACCACAGGCCAGCTCCCAGATGCTAGATACTTGAAGGCTTCCTGGAGTAGGAGGCACTGGGCCTGGGCTGGAAGATTTGAGTCTGCAAGGGTCCAAAGAGAGCTTTCCCGGTGGAAGGGACAGCAATGCGCTACCTCGCTTGTGGGACAAACCAGCTCAGAGAGCTGGGCCAGCTGCAGAAACTCAGCCTGCAGGCTCCAGGGGCTGTCAGCTGAGGGTCTCCTGGGGCAGAACCCGGTGGATGGAGAAGTTGGGGCGGGAGTCGCTCTGCAGTCCTTAGCTCCAGGCTGTGGACCCGGGTCCCCCAGGGACGCGGGCTGGGCGCTCCCACGCCTCCCGAGGCAGGACGTTCTCACGCGGGGGCGGCCCTGGGAAAGCTGTGCCGGAGGGGGACAGCGCCAGCGCTCAAGGTCCCTCCGCAGCCATTCTCCGCTACACACTTGGCGAACCCGAGTCGCGCTCCGCTGCCGACTCTGCGAGACGCGGTGAGTGAGTGCGCGGGAGACCCCCGGGGGCCAAGCCCTGTGAGTTGGGGAGTGTTCCTGTCATAGAGGACGGTCGGAGGTCGGAGGGTCGGGTGGCTTCTGACAGGTCAGGGTGGAAAACTGCTCGGGCGTCCTCCCGTCTGCAAAGGTAGACTACCCCTTCCTCTCCCCCAGGTCAGCACGGAGGAGGAACCCTTGCTTCCCAGATAGGGGGGCTCCCCTACCACGTATCCACACGGTGTGCCCTCTCCCTGTCGCTAGTTATAGGATGTCCTTCTCTCTCCCCACTATGGGGACACTTTCTCTTTTCAGAAGGAGGACACCCCTTTCCCCCAAGATCTGGGGTCCTCTCCCTCGGACCTGGTGTTCTCTGTCCTCTAAAGCCCCCCCAACCCCGCACGCCCCATAGGATGCCAGACCCCAGACTTCCCTCCCATGGGGTCTGAGCTCAGCCTGTCCTGTTCCCCACAGATCCAGCTGGGCTCTGTGTCTGCATAGCAGCCAGTCCAGGGAGGAGGAGGGGGCTGAGGTCTGCAAGAGACCACTGCAGATGGCTTTGTGGTGAACAGCCACAGGCCCTGCTCCGGCCCTTCCTGGACTCCCATTCCATTTCCACTGGGGCAAACAACTGAGGGGCGTTCCCCAACCAGGCCAGGCTGACCTGGGCTGGTGCCAGAACCCAGGCCCCTAGCCCCAGACTGGTCAGACCCTGCCCCAGGAATTAAGCTTCCCCCCACCTTCTCAGCTAGTGAATGGAGGCCCCAGGAGGGGGCTTCACCTGCCTAGAACTCCCAAATACTCCCATGGAGCTCTCAGACAAAATCAGAAGGCTCAGGGGCATGAGGGTGGCCTTGACACCCTGGATCCCCCACCACATTCACGAAAGCAAATTTCCTTTCTAAAAATTATTCCACATTAACGAAAGCAAATTTCCTTTCTAAAAATTATTTAATTTGATTTGTCATCATCTTTCTTTCTTTCTTTCTTTCTTTCTTTCTTTCTTTCTTTCTTTCTTTCTTTCTTTCTTTCTTTCTTTCTTTCTTTCTTTCTTTCTTTCTTTCTTTCTTTCTTTTTAGTTTGACCAGAGAGAGAGAGAGAGATAGGGAAAGTGAGAAAGCAAGCTGCTAGGTCTGGGACTCAGATTGCAATCAGACATATGGGAGTCCAGCACCTTAATCACCACACCACCTGCAAGCACCACACAATTGAATTTCTATTCTGGGTCTGGGAGAGGACTCATCCACACCTCCCTCCCCCAGATGTTCTCCAGAGCCGCCTGGAGTCTGATGCTGAGGAAAGGTGCGCTGGGAACTCGAGGGATGCACAGCCCAGGAGGTAAGGCCTGACCCGTCCCTCCCACCTAGCTCCAGAGTTGGAGGGGTCCTGTCTTCAGGCTGCCCCTGTCCCTTCCACGCTGCCCTGGGCCCACTCCAAACCACTTTCCATGATCCTGCTCTTTGATCCTGGGCCAAGTTCCTCCAGGAAGTGGAGTGCACAGGGAGAGCCCTCCACAGGGTGAGCAGACAGCAGCCCCCTTCATTCCAACTTTCTTTAGGGCCTGACCCCCGAGCCCCAGGCCCCTAAGGCCATGTGTCCTAAGGTGGACAGTTGCTGACAGAACTTCCTGAACCTGAGACCTTCCTTTCCAGACCCTGGTATCAGTGTTAGTCAGAAGAAAGAAGCCTAAAGGCGGGAGAGACCAGCCTGATGGCAGATGGACCTTCCTGACCCTCAGGAGATAACAGATAGCATTTATTGAGTCCTCACTGTGTGCTCCAAGCTGGATAAACATTTACACTAATGAACACATATAGACCTCCAACAACCATGCGCAGTGGGTGCCCGGCTGTTCTCTCCATTTCTCCAATGAACAATCTGAAGCCCAGAGACCTAGATGTTAGAAGAGCCAGGCTCCTGGCCCCGGGCAGCTCCAGTGCCCTCCCCTTAGGTGGTATCAATGCCCTCCTTGTGGGCTTCTCTGGTGTCAATAAACAGAAGGGCCTTGATTTCATTTTATTTTTTATTATTTTTTTAGAGAAATTTTTGCTCTAGAGAGCGTGTATTCACTGGAGGGACAGACAGAAAGCGAGGAATCACTCCCCAGGGGGGATGGCCATGTTGTAGTCCCTTCTCCTCCATTCTTCTCTTGGGATATTGGGCATGCACACACACGTGCCCAGTATGTTTCAAGCCACCAGATCTGGGGCTCGGATCATGATTGACCACATGAGAGTCCAGTGCCTTACCCACTATGCCACCTGGTGGCTCCAGAAGGGCCATTATTTAGACCCTCCCTAGTGCCCAGCCTTACTCCGAGAGCCTTGGGGGCTCCAGGAATGGAGGCCAGTAGTAAAACCAGCCTCTCCCCAGCAGTCTGAATTACTGAGCATCTGCTCTGTGCCAGGCCCTGCACAGCCTTTTGAGTGTATTGTCTTGAAGCTTCCCACACGAGTGTAAGAGGTATTTCTACTTTCGAGACAAGGATATAGAGGCACAGCAAAGTAACAGGCCTTGTTGGAGCCGGGTTGGGCTGGAACTGGGGCTCAAACCCAGGCGGTTCGATAGCCAGCCTTACCCCTGGCTCCTTATTAAACACATGCACAGAGTGCTTTTCAGTTGCAGAGTTTCACGCCCCGCGTCTTAGGTTCCTGCCACTGTGCCTTTGTCCACCCATTCATCACCTCGGCCTGCCAGGACCTCACCTCAACTCTTCCTCCAGCCTTCCCAGAGAACGTGGGAGGTGAATCACAGCCCTGGCCCTGCTCCTCCTTGCTCTGTGAATCTGAGCAATCACTTAGCTGCTCAGTTTCTTCATGTAAAATGGGAATAACAGAATGCCCTGGCTCAGAGTGATGGGGCCTGAGTGAGCCCACTCCTTGAAGGCCTGAGAACGGCTCCTGGAACACAGTAAATGCTCGACAAATGTAGCACTCTGCAGTAGTATGTTCAGAGGTAGGGTGTCTGTACCAGGGGCCGCCTGGACTCACCTCCCTCCCTTATGCCCGCAGCCCGCAGGGGAGAGAAGATGCCCCCCTATACCAACTGCCACGCCCAGCGCTCCTACCCAATGCCAGATGAGCCCTTCTGCACGGAGCTCAGCGCTGAGCAGCAGGCCCTGAAGGAGAAGGAGAAGGGCAGCTGGACCCAGCTGAGCCACGCCGAGAAGGTGGCCCGTAGGTCTGGGGTGAGGGGGCGGGCTGGGGAGAGAGGGTGACTCTGAGAAGAAAGTCTTGTTGGGGAGCAGTGGGCACGGAGAGGCCCCCAAAACAGCCAGGAACCCTCGAACACCTGAACGCACAGCTGAGGGCTCTAGGTCATCCATCTATCCATTCATCCTCTTATTCACTCAGCTGTTGGTATGGAGCCTGATGCAAGGGATCCTGGGAGATGAGGTGGATCACCTGATGGTCCCTGCTCTCATGGGGCTCCCAGTCTAGGGTGGAAAAACTGATGCACACACTACTAATTGTAAGAGTAGGGTGAGCTGTATTCAAGGGACCAAGAGGGCCCTAAGGAAAGAGAGATGAAATCCTGGTGGGCCTTCCAGAGGGCACACTCCAGCTGGCCTTGAAGGGTGAACAGGAGGCCCATGCCAGGTAAGGGTAACAGCAGGGCGAAGGGTGTCAAAGCAGGAGAGTGTGGAATGGCACAGAGTGCCCAGTGAGGTGGATGGGGAGCAGGTGACCCTAGGAGAAGGGAGGGATGCATGGTCTCAAGGCCTGCCCACAGTTGTCCACAGGCTGACCCTTTGATATTTGAAGCCTTTTATTCTCATTCCACTAATGTGGGAGCCCAGCCTGACCACCAGCATTTCAGGAGACTCCTTGTCGGGGAAAGCTCATGCTTCTGACATTCATTCATTCATTCAACATCTTGTTTTTTTAACGAATTATTTTATTTAACTTTATTTATTTATTTGTTTATTGGAGAGGTTTTTGTCATAGGTTGCGTGCGCTAGCCAGAAAGACAGAGAGAGACAGAGATTAAAAAGTGAGAAATCACTCCCCACCAGGGGGGATGGCCACGCTGCAATTCCTTCTCTTCCATTCTCCTCTCGGGATCCTGGGCACGCATGCACACGTGCCCGGTGTGAGTTTAAGCCACCGGATCTGGGACTCGAACCGTGGTTGACTACATGAGAATCCAGTGACATAGCCATTATGCGAACTGCTGGTCCCAATTTATTTATTTTAAATTGATCAGAGAGGGACAGAGTGAGGGGAGAGAGAGAGAGAGAAAATGGGAAAGCAAGCTTCCAGATCCAGGACTTGAACTGTGGTCAACCATGTGGGAGTGTCCAGTTCCTTAGTCACCACGCCACCTGTTGGTCTCCACATTTCTTTTTTCTTTTTTAAATAATTATTTTATTTAACTTTATTTATTTATTTAAATTTGACCAGAGAGGGACAGAGAAAGAGAGAGAAAGTGAGAAGGCAAGTCGCCAGGTCCAGAGCTCAAATCACAGTTGGCACGGCACGTCGCCAGGTCCCGAGCTCAAATCACAGTTGGCCATGTGGGAGTCCAATGCCCTTAACCACCACGCCACCTGCCGGCCCTCTCCATTCATTTCAAAAGTGGAATTCTCTTTTTTCCTTATTTCCTCAAATGTTACATGCATAAAGCAAGACGGTAATTAGCATAATTAATATCTGTTGCATAGTTACCATGAGCAGGTGCCACTGTGGAGGTAATTACTCTCATTAGCTGACAGTTGAGGAAGTTGAGGCTCTAGATGAAGTCACTTGCAATGGTAGTCACAGCTAGAGGGTGGAGTAGGGATTGGACCGCACACAGACCACTTCCAGGGATTTCCCCCTTAGCTGCTACACCACATGCTACATTGAAGCTTTAGCAGAACACGTGCAAGGTGAGCTGACAGCGCCAGAGCTCAACAAACAACTTCCTCTGGCCACTAGACATGGCGGCTCTGGGGCCCTTGCCCTCTGTCACTGCTGGCTTAGCTTTCACCTCCAACCCCCACCTTCTTCTTCTTTTTCTGTGTTTCCTGGGCCCCCTCACACCCACAGCTGCCACCCTCTGTGGAATTCCAAATTCCTTCCTGGGGTTGGTTTCATTGTCCCAACCCGGGTGGGTGGGGGGGTCTTGCAAAAATGCAATACAGTTCCTTTCCCTGAGGAAATCTGTGCCAGCTTTGATTTCCCTTTAGTTAACTATTTTTGTATTCGTTTAACACACTGAGAAAGGATGACATACGAAGGGTAACATTTTTTGAGAACTATCAAAAGGAGGAGGAAGAAAAGCCAGTCTCCTTTCTATTTAATCCCCCTGTGACCAGGTTTTCCTTTCCAGTGACTTGTGTTTTTCCAGAGAGAATCTACCATGTCCATATATGTAGAAGCAGTTCCTAGTTCTTTTTTTTTTTTTTTTTTTTTTGAGGGGTTTTTTCTATAGGGGGGATTGCTATAGGGTGCATGCACTCGTTAGAAAGACAGAGAGAGACAGAGAGACAGAAAGTGAGAAATCGCTCCCCAGGGGGGATGGCCACACCACAATCCCTTCTCTTCCATTCTCTTTTTGGGATCTTGGGTGCACACGCACACGTGCCTGGCGCCAGTTTTAGCCACCAGGTCTGGGACTCGAACTGCAGTCAGCTACATGGGAGTCCAGTGACATAGCCATTACGTCATCTGCTGGTCTCAGTAGTTCCTAGTTCTTATTTCCCCTCCCAGCTCACCCCCTTCTGCCCTTTTCTTTTCTTTTTTTAATTGCTAGAGGGCATATATGCTCACTAGAAAGAGACAGGGAGAGAAAGAGAGAAAGCAGCTCCCAACAGGGCATGGTCATACCATTATCCCTTCTCTGTTTCTCCATCCTGCTGGGATTTGGGGTACACACGTAACTGCACCCTGCATATTTTTCAAGCCACCAGTCTTCCTAGAGGAGATGAGGCAGTCTTGAAGGATAGGAAAAATAGAGCCAAGGCAAGAGGGTCCCCTGGGAGGACAGTTCCAGGACCACAGTGGGTCTTCAGAGCTTAAAGTTTGAACTCCTGGGCCTGGCGTCCAAGATTCTTCAGGCCCTGCCCCTCCTGTCTCAGCATCTTGGTGGTTCTCTGGACATGCCCTATGCTTCCCACAGCTCTGCGTGTGTTTGTTCATGCTATGTCTCTGGTCACGTATGTCCTAAGAACCTACACTCTCACACTTCTGACACCACATGTGTGGGATTTTTCCCACACCAACAGCCAATTCTTCTCTCCAGCTTTCCAGACACCAGCTAAGTGGTCTGTGATTCAATTTAACCCTGACATTATCTACCTGGAGGTCGTGTCCGATCCCATGGGTTGAGGGCTCAGTTCCACAAGGCTGCTCCTCTTGTGAATGTGTGAAATAAAAAGAAACAAACAAAAACCCAAAAAAGAAAAAAAAGAAACAAAAAACCCATTCCTTTGATCCTCTCTCTGGTTTCATTAACCGAACTCCTATTGCAGGAAGAAAGATTTAATAAAGAATGTCAACACATCCAGACAAAGTTTTGTCACAGCCTATTGTCCATCTTCTGAGCCCACGTGGCTCCTTAGGAAATTACTTACCATTATCTGAGCATTAAACCATCCCCCTTCCTGTCTTCACAACTTTTGCCTTTAAAATCCCCCTGAAATCTGCATGACCTCAGCACACAGTATCCAGGGCTGCGTGGGCGCTGTGAGCCTGGCAGATCATCCTCTCTTTGATGTTGCACTTAACCGTGGCTTTCCTTCCTGCACCTCAGCCTTTCATTTGGGTTGACAAATGCCAGTTGCAAGTCCCAGGTGGTCTCCTGAGTTTCTGACTAACTGACTAGGAACAGGGATTCCTACAACCCCCTCCTCAGGTTTGATAATTTGCTATAATGGCTCAAAAAACCTCAGGAAGGGGCCAGCAGGTGGCCAGCAGTTCCACTTAGGGCACTGGACTCCCAACCGTGGTTCAAGTCCCAGGCCGGGCAGCTTGCTTTCTCACTTTCTCTCTCTCTCTGGTGAGTGCACGTGCTCTGTAGCAAATTTAAAAAGAATAATAATGATAAATAAAATACAATAAATAATTCCTTTTAAAAACCCCAAACCTCAGGAAAACTCTTTGTGCTTACCAGTTTATTTGAAAGGGTACAACAAAGGATGCTGAGGTACGGCCAGGTGAAGAGGCATGTCTGTTGGTATGTTGAAGTCCAGAGCCAAGGCGTGTTCACTGACCCGGAAGTTCTCGGAACCCTGTCACTGAGGAGTCTGATGGAGTTTCACTATGTGGTCATGGTTGATTAGATCGCCCATCGAGGTCATTGCCAATGAAGTCGGTCTCTGGCTCCTCTCTCCTTCCTGGGTGGGGGAGGGAGGCCTGAAAGTTTCAACCCTCTGATCCTAAGGTTGGCTCCTCTTGTACCCAGCCCAGTCTGCATCCTCTGAGAATCACCTTGTTAACATAAATTCAGGTATAGTTGAAAGAGGCATATTATGAATAAAAAAGATGATCCTCTCACCTCTAATAACTAGGCTTTCCAAGGATTTAGAAGCTCTTATGCCAGGGGCAGAGACTGAAATCAAATTTCATATGATTTATATATAATCATATATGTGTGTGTGTGTGTGCTTTTTTTTTTTTCATGAGAAAGCGAGACAGAGACAGAAAAGAGGCAGAGGGTCTGGACAATGGCAGGAACATGTGACACATGGCATGCTCAGGGGTACTAGGACTTGATCCCTGGACCTTTTCTTTCTCTTTCTGGTTGTCACATGATCCTTTATTGAGATGTTTTCCTGTGTACTTCTTAACTAGCTGGGCGTTCCACTGCACCACTGTTGATGTTGTCGATGATGTCATGAGGGTGACGGCCATCGACATTACAGCCTACAGACTGAGCTGTCCCCAGGATCTCTTTCATGGTTCCAGAGAGCTCTCTGGCCCAAGACCGGTGGCTCATCTGTCGGGCAATGCTGACAGTCTCGTCAACAGTGGTGTTCCCACTATGTTTAATATTCTTCTGCTTCTTTCTGCCTCTTGGTGGTCCTTGAGGGCTTTGATGATGAGCGCAGAGGCAGAAGGCCCACTTCGATCTGGGCCTGTCTATTCTGAATGGTCAGCTTCACGGTAATTCTCAGGCCCTTCCAGTCACCAGTTGCCTTGGTGATGTCATCACCAACCTTTTTTGGAGAGACCCAGGGGACTGATCTTGAGGGCCAGGGCAGACGTGGCACCAACTTTGCCACCAGTGCACCTCAGGTCCACGACTTGATCTCATTGAGGTTGAACTTGGGTGGCATAGTGGAGGAGGCTGGTGTCAGATGAACCCAGATTGGGGATGACCAAAGAAAGTTGCACCAAGGCCGCCTCCGAGCCGAAAGCTGAAAGCGATCGCTGGACCTTTTCCACGTCAATCCAGTCCTGTTACCACTGTGCCACCAGCTGGCCCCCAACCATGTGATTTATTTAATTTAATGTATTATTATTTTTAAGTTGCTACAGGGCACGTGTGTTCACCAGAGAGAGACAGAAGTGGGAGCAGCAGATGGCATGGTGGTTAAGGCACTGGACTCCCACATGGCTAGCCACAGTTTGAGTCCCAGACCTGATGGCTTGCTTTCTCACTTTCTCTTTTTTTTTCTCTCTCTCTGGTCAAATTAAAAAATAATAAATAAAATAAAATAAATAAATAATTCTTTTAAAAAGAGAGAGAAAAAGAAAGAGAGAAGGAAAGTGAGAAAGCCAGCTGCCAGGTCTGGGACTTGAACCGCAGTTAGCCATGTGGGAGGGAGTCCAGCATCTTAATCACCATGCCACCTGCTGGCTCCCCCATGTGTTTCTTCTTATGTCACACCTTCCCCCTGGCTTTCCACTGGCTTACTTCGTTCCCATCCGTGCACATTTCCCTCTGGGCCTTCCTGTTAGTAGCTCCCCCAGCCTGGTATGCCTCTCACCCTGATCTCTCGGAGGGCAGTGACCCCGTGTCATTTCTCCAGGCGTCTCCAGCAGGACATTCATTCACAAGTATTCTAGATATAATGATTAAGAGCCTGCTACGTACCAAACACTGTTTTGGTGCTGGAAATGTTAACAATGAGCAGAGTCCTGCTTCCCCCGGAGTTTATAAGAAAGAGAAGCAGGGAATAAGAAAATGGAAGAGGGACCAGCAGATAGCGTGATGGTTATGTTGCTGGACTCACATGTGGTCAACTAAGGTCCGAATCTCATACTCATTGGCTTGAAACTCAGCCTGGAGTGTGTGTGAGTGTGCCCCAAATCCAAGAAGACAATAGAGTAGAAGGAATTGCAGCATGGCCATCCCCCGGTGTGTGTGCGTGTGTGTGTGATTTCTCACTTTCAGCCTCTCTGATTAGTGCATGCTCCCCATAGCAAAACTCTCTCTCAAGAAAAAAAAAAAAAAAAAAAAAAAAAAAAAGGAAGGAAGAATAAAAACACTTTATTGGGAGGAAAGGGAATGGCAGGGACAGTCCTGATGAAAGTCTGAGTCACATAAAACCACATGGGGTTCGAACGGTGGTTGCCATGAGGGATTTAGCTTCTCTCAAGCAGTGCATTACCCCTGCACCATGGAGCCAGCCTGCTACACTCTCTCTTTTTCGCTTATTCCACACCGGCCCACTGGCCTGCACTTCACCCCTTCCCTACCCCTTCCTACCTCAGGGCCTTTGCACTTGTTTCCAGTTTGCACATGACTTTGTCTGACTTTTCAAGCCCCAGCTCCAATGTCACCACCTCTGAGACCTTCTTGGCCGCACTAGCTGAAGTAGCCCCTGCCCACACTCTGTCTGAAGCCTTTGCCGTCTGCCTCCCACTCTAAGCTCCCTAGGGGCAGGACTCTTCTGGCTCATGCACTGCTGGGTCTCCAGTTCTTGGCCCTGTCTGTATACAGTACATGCTCAATGAGAATCAGCTGAATGAGCAGTGTCTGCTGTGGGTAGGGGAAGGCTGAGGCTCCCTGGGGACCAGAGTGGTCCAGGGTCCTTGGAGTAGATGCACCTGAGGCCCCTTCCCCACACCCACCTGCTCCAGTGTACCGGCTCCAGTTCCACGAGACCTTCGCAGAGATGAACCGTCGCTCCAACGAGTGGAAGACCGTGATGGGCTGTGTCTTTTTCTTCTTTGGATTCACGGCTCTGCTGATCTGGTGGCAGCGGGTCTATGGTAAGTGGCGACTATAAGCCTGGGTCATGCCCTGTGACCATGCCACCACCAAACTCAAGGGAACTGTGTTGGTACCCATCTCAAGAGTTCTGCAAAGTCCTCAAAGAGATTTAGGGTGAAGGGCAGGGCATAGCTGGCTGAGGAGGAATGTAGGGATTCTACCTCTCTGGGGCTTCAGTTTCTCATCTGGAGAACAGGGTTAAAGATGCTCAAGGTTCTTGTGAGGATTTAAAGATAATGGAGTGGGGCCAGGAGATGGTATAGTGATTATGTCATTGAACTCTCACATGGCTGACTGCAATTCTAGGCCAGACCTAATGGCTTAAAACTCATGCTGGGGGGGACCAGCAGGTGGCATGCTGGTTAAGATGCTGGACACTCACACATGGCTGACCACGGTTCAAGTCCTGGACCTGGTAGCTTGCTTTCTCACTTTCCCTCTCTCTCTCTCTCTCGCTCTCTCTCTCTGGTCAAATTAAAAAATGAATGAATAAATAAAATAAAATAAAATAAAAATATAAAAAAACCCAACTCATGCTGGGTGCGTGTGCATGTGTGCTCAAGATCCCAGGAGAATAACGGAGGCGAAGAGATTGTAGCATGGCCATCACCATGCTACAGGGCCCCAGGGAGTGATTTCTCTCTTTGTATCTCTCTGACTCTCTATCTCTCCAATAAGTGCATGCACCCTATAGTAAAAATCTCTCCAAAAAAATTAAATAAGAAACCAGCAGGTGGCGTAAGGCACTGAACACGCCCACATGGCCAACCATGGTTTGAGCCCTGGACCTGGTGGGTTGCTTTCTCACTTTCCCTCTCTCTCTCTCTCTCTGTGTGTCTCTCTCTGGTCAAATTAAAATAAATGAGTGAATAAATAAAATTAAATTTAAAAAATTCTTTAAAAAAGTGCAGAGAGCTGTAGGCCAGCGCTCATACATGGTCATGGGTAGTTGCTGATGGCTGTGTGTCAGCTGTGTGTTTATCAGTACAGTGATTCACCAGCTGGAATAAGTCTCCAACACATAAAAGCTTAAACAAGCTAGAGGTTTATTCCTTTCTCACAAAAAAAGAGAGAAACAGTCTAGACTCGGATGGGGACTCCACAAAGCAGGCTCCTCTCTTATTGCTCTGCCGTCGTTAACATGCAGTGCTCAGGCTAGCCAGTGGCCTGGTGGTTAAGGCAGGCAGATCCCACATCGCCAACTGTGCAGTTCAAGTCCTGGACCCAGTGGCTTGAAAAACATGCCAAGTGGGGCCGGCAGGTGGCGTGGGTTAAGGGCACTTGACTCCCACACGGCCAACTGCAGTTCGAGTCCTAAACCTGGCAGCTTGCTTTCTCACTTTCTTTCTTTCTCTCTCGCTCTGGCCCTTTCTGGACAAAATTAAAATAAATAAATAAAGTTAAATAAAATAATTTTAAAGAAAAGAAAAAGAAAAACATGCCAAGTGTGTGTGTATGTGTGCTCCAAATATCAAAAGGCAGGAGAGATGAAGAAGGGATTACAGACTGATCACTACTCATGGGGTGTTTTCTCCTCCTTCTCTCTCTATAGCAAAGTTTAAGATAAAATAATAAAGTAAGGGAACCAGCAGTTAGCATAATGTCGCTGGACTCCCACGTAGTCGACCGCGGTTCGCATCCCAGATCCGGGCTTAAAACTCACGCTGGGCGTGTGTGTGTGCATGCCCAAGATCCCGAGAGGAGAATGGAGGAGAAGGGATTGCAGCGTGACCATCCCCCTGGGGGGTGATTTCTCGCTTTTCTGTCTCTATGTCTCTCTCTGTCTGGTGAGCACATGCACCCTATAGCGAAAAAACCTCTCAAAAAAAAAAAAAGAATTATTTTTTTTTATTTAACTTTATTTATTTAATTTAGTTTTAATTTGGACCAGAAAGGGACAGAGTGAGAGAAAAGGGAAAGTGAGAAAGCAAGCCGCCAGGTCCAGGACTTGAACCACAGTCAGCCATGTAGGAGTCCAGTGCTCTTAACCACCATGCCACCTGCCAGCCCCCCTGTTTTTTCTTTTATTAAAAATGTTGCCAGAGAGTGCACGCAGTTGCCAGAGAGAGAGAGAGAAAGAGAGAAAGTGAGAAATCATCCCCCAGGAGAGATGGGCATGCCACGATCCCTTCTCCATTTTCCTCTTGAGATTTTAAGCAAGCACGCACACCCACTGGGTGTGTTTTTTAAGTCACCAGCTCCAGCAACTGGCCCAGCAGTGCGCCTTTAACAGCCCTTTAGGTGACCAGACGCCTGCTCAGGTTTGAGCACCTCTACTGGGGGCGAGGATCGGGGAGGACACTGAGAGAGAGCTGGCAGTCTTCGCCTCAGCTGGCCTCACCTCTGCTCTCTCCTGTAACGGTGTGACAGGAATTCTTCTGTTTCGTGATAATGGCATAAGAGAGCCTTTGGGAAAAAGTCTAGTCCAGGCCAGGCTTGGCACACGAAGGTGTCCATAAGGTCATCTCCTTCCTGTCCACCCCTTGGCACAGAAAGTACCAGGGATGGAGGTCGGGCAGGCTGAACTGCCTCAGGGGCAGGTGGGGCAGAGATAAGGTGTGAAGGTGTTGGGAGCCCCCACCCCGAGGCCCCTCCCTTGTCCACAGGACAAGGCACATAAAAGGCCTCCACAGGGTGCTTCAGCCTCTGAGCTCAGTATTGCTTTCCCCGATGTCCTTTTCTTTCCCTGACAGAGAACTTGGGCATGCACGTGAGTGTGAGGCGCCCCGACAGTCTCGTCATACTTCGATCCCTCTTCCCCCGGCCCGCCAGCTCCTCAGGATCCCGGGCACTCATGTGTGTGCTCTTGGCACATTTTGAGCTGACTCCAGGACTCAAACCCACAGTCGGCCATATGGCTCCCAGCTTCACGGGGCACTTGGGGCCAGCCCTCCCCGGGTGCTTAAAGTGAATGCCTCCTACCCTACCTATACCTCTCAACCCCTTGGGAGTCCAAAGGAACTAGCTCGTTCCAGACCCCTCCCAGGAGAGGAAGAGAACTAGGTCATTGTGAGAAGCACCACACACTGGGCACTGGCTGTCTGCCCCGCCTTGTGCCGAGACGTCACACATATGCGCTTGCTCGATTTCCCCCAGCCCTAGTGGAGAGCACCTGCTTTTTTTTTTTTTTTTTTTTTTTAAGAAAAATTGGGACCACCAATTAGTGTAATGGTACTTC